CGTGATGTTCCTACACACTTGCCCGCCCATCTTGCAGAACCAGAAGAAGCCAAACCTGCTGGCGCAGTACAATTATGCTCATGTCGGACTTCAAAATCGTTATCTGATATAATTATATCAAGAGCACAAAGCAAACACGTACAATTTTTTTCTCCAGTTTTCTCCTCGACTTTTAAGTACTGTTAACAGAGCACACATACGAAGAGCCAGCAGCATTGAAATCTGCCGGGGCCCAACGTGCAGCAGGGTGAAACATGCAACTACGTAAAATTTATAGCACAGTTCAAGGCATTATTAGAGTAACTTACATTGCCCTCTGGCGTGCATTAGGGTCCTTCTTTCTTTCTCTTTCCACGCCTACCATTACCCATTACTCAGGTGGCAAATAGACTGGCCATCTCATGCTCATAGCCCGAGTATTTGTCAGTCTCAGACAACTCATGAAAACGCTTCTTTTCCTTGTCGGTCATCGTCTGCATAGAAGGAATGAGGCCAAAGTTTAAATTATTATCTCTCTGACAAAACCTATATAGAGAAATTTGGGTCTCATCTAATAGTGGACATGTAACCGATTATTCGAGCATAAAACACAAAAGGAACAGCAAACTTGCACTTGCATTCCTGAGATCTCATTAGTCCAAGTTTTTTTTAGCTAAAACCCGGCCATTTTTCAGGATAGGTTCAGAAAAATGTGTAGAATAACATTACTAAAAAGTCCCCGAAATCCCCTTGTGCGTTTTCCAGAATCCACAGATGGCGTCCAAAATTGCCGGCCCATTTAGGGTTTTCCAATAACTCTTGGGCTCAGTCAAGCTAGAAACATGATTATAAATGTCTAATTATATGTGTTTTGAATGCCCATAATCTAGCTTAGGCCTACTTTTTGTGCAGGTTTCAAGTGATGCAAGTACGCTAATCCAAGATGACTAGCCGCGATAGGCGATCCCTTACACTCGTACCACTCGGCCAAACATCCCATGATGGATTTTTCCTCAACTTAAACAATATAAAACAATAACAACGTGCTTCCAAACGTACATCATGAACGATCGTGTATATTTAGGACCATATACGCTAGAAAATCTACATTCAACTGCTTAAAATATCTATCAAAACATTGCAACATATTAATCAACCCTTCAAATACTGAGAGCAGCGCATGACACGTACACATAATATGGTTACCTGTTTCAAAAATTCAGTGCTTAAAAAAATACCCCACTAGCTACAAGTAGTACACAAATGGTATATCAAGCAAAAAACAGCACGTATAGATCTAGTGCCCTACAAACATAACTGGTTCTCTCCTAAAGTATGCTACCTCAGAACGACAACTTTCAAACTAAACATTCGCATACATTTTAATACTAAAACATCTAGAAATTATGCATATCCAAAACAAAATATTAATGTATTATAATAGCTAGACTATCCCTATTCTCGCTATGAACCACAAGACATTTGATGGGGTAACCGAAGTGTCTATGAACAGGACCTGACAGTACCATTGATTTGACATCAGTCTTCTGCATCATCAGTCAGAGCTGTTTCATCATCTATGCAGGGTCTCCAACCATTCCTCATTCTGCGGAATCATTACGATTTCTAGGCACCACTTCCGCATTCTGCCAGCGTGCGCAAGGTTATATTCCTCATTTCAGTTGCACTGTACAAAATTTGCGACTGATTGTTCGCATTGTTCGGCTTGGGCCACATTGTTTTTTTTCAGGCATTTTGTATCATGTGTCACAGTGTCACTATCAAGAATTAGCGGCAGGTGCCCTACGCATAGTCCTTGTTATTCCCTCCCTTGTTGCCCTCGCGGTGACAAAATCCCAAGTTTCCAGCGAAGTTTAGGGAAAAGGAATTATCTGTGATTTGTCTACATTCCTCAGCATTCAGTGAAATAATGCAATGATGGCTTACTGGCTTAGTGATAATGGCCGAGCCTGTGGCTGAGCCTTTGTCCAAAATCTTTACTCGGGTGTGTGCGCCATTCAAATTCATTTTACCCGCGTGCCGTGTACCCGCTTTTATTGGAAGCGGCACGACTGTCCCCATGCCCACGTGACGGTAATCGCTATATGTGATTGGACTAGGTACGTCCGGAAAGTTGGAAGCGGCCAATGGGAGCGCGCCCGTGCTTTATGCCTTGTGCCTTTCCAGGCTCCAGCCCGCTCATAGCGTTAGCAAGGCCCACAGCACATAGCATATAGACAGCTATTGCATTTCTATAAACATCGCTGCCGTATTCCACAAGCCTGACCTATTTGGACTGCATACCCGTTAGTAAAACTTTTATTTTACCTAGATCTAGTGCGTGAGTGTTGAAAAAAACTTATAGGGTTGTCGTGCTATGATAGTTTTAACGTTTGCTTTCTTATAAACTCTTTATGTAATGTACGATTAGAGATAAATGATGATAAACAGCATGCAGTTTACCACGGTATTTTAGTATAGCAGTTGTAGCGGCGGCCATTTCGTATTGCAATGTGTGCGATAGCTATCCGATGCTCGTTATTTTGTACTTACCTAATTAGAGACCGTTAAATACAATGCCGCTCATATTGCTAATGCAAGTATATTAATCGGTATTGCCGTATGTAAAATTTTATATTTATTCGTTTGGTATTGCATGTGAAAATCTGTGCCGAAAGTGCTCATTCCTTTGTTCAGCGAACGCTAGCACAGCATATTGCAAGCACTGTTGCGCGTATATATATCTGCACTGACTCTCCCCCGTGTTGAATCCTGAGTATGGGCCTATACTCCAATGTATGTACACCTTAGTATATCAGTGCTATTTTCCTATAGGGAACCGAGATGGGATTTCGGATAATATATCTAGAGGTTTTCCGTTCGCAAATAATTTAACAGCTTGTTAGACCTTGTAGAACGATCTTGATCCGACATTTTGTCGACACAAAGAAGATATTGGGGCGTAGTTTTCACCAACAATTTGGAACTTCATATCCCGTACACTGACAATATATACCGACACCGTACGTTGTGTAGAATGAGGATGCATATAGTACTGCCTAAGGTGTCAGCCATAGACAAGCCAAAGGTTTTGATTAGAGTGATTTTATGATATTTTCGTTTGTCATGAGAGGTTTTGCTTTGTCTGCGTTGGTGAGAAAACTGGATTTAACTGGTTTTGACTAGCATAATGGCGGCTATATGTACAGATTATATTAGAAGGAGAAACGAGAAGTAGGGTTCAGATAGGAAAATAACAGGTACCATAAAATTGTATGGGAATTTTTCGTTGTAAATTTAAAGGTTAGTGTCGTTCATATGTGCATTGAAAGCTTAGATAATAAATGATTTTAAGAAGGAAATGACTGTAATGCACTAAATCAGTAAATGGTTTAATCAATTAATGGTAATTTTAATGTCATGTATTAGTTATTAAGGTTTATTTGGATATACGTGTGTATAATAAGTCGGCACATAAACATAACATAATTAAGATTGTGTTTAGTGTACCCGGTATTATTGTTTTTTTGTGTGATCCTTGTGTGGATGTATTGATGCACATCCAGACGTGAAATTCGCATGTTAAACGTGCAAAATGTCAAAATTTACAGTTGTGTTTGATAGAGTCCGTGCATCAATCAGAGAGTCACAATCTGTTAATAATTGTGTCTGTGGGAATAATTAACTAGTCTATAGGGATAAAAGCTCATGCACGTTTGTTAGTTAGGTGTAAGTTTGACATAGTATGACGTTTTAGGTTATTATATTGCTAATCTTATTGTTTGTACAGGTCTATGAAAAACTCGATCTGTACGGTCCCTGTTGTGTGGTTGTTTGTACCTGGTATGGTGGAATGCTGTGTTTGGCAAGGAGGAAACATGTTCATCTAAGGTCATTATTTAAGAAGCTGCACGTGTTAGGGAGAGGCGAAGACTTCAAACAAATGCTTTGTTCTTCCATTCATGTTTTATACTGCTATAACACATAAGTAAATTGGGAATAGGGATGTATAAACCATATATATGGTGTTATAGTGTGGAAGAAAGAACATTGGACGTGTGGAAGACAGATATTTTTATGAACACCTCGCACCTAGGTCTAGTTGTTAATTACCATTGTGTTAGTTGTGTAGTTGTTAATCTATGGGCAATGCTGGGTATTGTATTGGTTCCAGGATCTGCAGGCCAGGTCTATATTTACATTACATAATAGAAGGCTGCTACCTGTCTATTGTGCAGCAGTTACATGTGCTTGCCATTCTACTGGTTGACATACTGGTTTAGCTAGTGTGTGGAAAAGCCAGTGATCTATCTCTAGATTCTTATAGCTGTCTGGTAGGATGGGGTTAAAGAGCTTAGACACGGACACATATCTTATTGGTGCAGGCTGTGGCTAGACTCTAGAGTGGCTGTAATAAGCTTATGTGTGTGTGTCAGGTAGGTTGGGCTGGTGAGCGATGGCACTTGATGTCTTGGATAGAAGTTGTGCTCCATAAAAGTTGACATGTACTCATGTTGGGGTGTGTGAAGTTCTTTCTAGTTGATTGGTCATGTATGTGCAAGTCAGGATCGCAATGATGTGGATGTAGGAAACTGTGCGAATGAAGAAAAAATGCTGATAATACGCTGAACATTTCTATTTCTCTCCATAGGAGTGGAACAAGTATTGGATTAATTAGAGACGTCATCTGCCAGTATGGTGAGGGACCCAAGCAAGCCAAAGGGCCGTATGTCGGGGTATTCCTACTTCGTGCAGACCTGTCGTGAGGAGCATAAGAAGAAGCATCCTGATGAAAGCATTGTCTTCGCAGAGTTCTCAAAGAAGTGTGCGGGACGATGGAAGGTAAGAGAAGGAAACATGAGGCATTTGTGTTGTCACAAAGGAGATTACTCGTGAAATGAACGGCATGCTAACACAGTAAATTTTCCTTTAAAAAGGTACATCTTTTAGTTGTGACTTTCCATAGGAACGAATTTCCAATGACAATTGAAATCGAAAGGTGGAATATTATTGTAGCAGTTTCTCTCAGTGATTCAATTTGCTGAAGAGATGCCATCGACTGCTACCCTGTCTCTACACGTTGTTACCTTTGTTTACATGTCAAGATATAGGCTACCATTCAAGATTTATGTGACAGAATCAGATGCACTTGTAGTTGTGGCATCATTTTTAGATTCGTTTGTGCAAATCTCAGGAATGCAAGTGCAAGTTTGCTGTTCCTTTTGTGTTTTATAGCTTGGCTTGCATGTTTATGCTCGATTAATCAGTTAAATGTCCACTATTAGATGAGACCCAATTTCTCTATATAGATTTTTGTTAGAGAGATAATAATTTTAACTTTGCCTCAATTCCTTCTATGCAGACGATGACCGACAAGGAAAAGAAGCGTTTTCATGAGTTGTCTGAGACTGACAAAACTCGCTATGAGCATGAGATGGCCAGTTATTTGCCACCAAAGGGTATGGGTAGGGGTGGAAAGAGAAAGAAGAAGGACCCTAATGCACCCAAGAGGGCAATGTAAGTTAACTCTAATAATGCCTTGAATGTCTATAAATTTTACGTAGTTGCATGTTTCACCCTGCTCACGTTGCCCCGGCAGATTCACATCTTGCTGGCTCTCGTATGTGTGCTCTGTTAACAAGTACCTAAAAAGTGGAGAGAGAAAAACTGGAGAAAATAATGTAGTGGTGCTTTGTGCTCTTGATATATATTATATCAGAAACGATTTTTGAGTCGACATGAGCATATTGTAACTGCCCACAGGTCTGGCTTCTTCTGGTTCTGCCAAGATGGGCGGCAAGTGGTGAGGAACATCAACCCTGGCTGGGGAGTCGGTGATGTCGCCAAGGAGTTGGGCAAGCGTTGGGGAGTGCTCGCCCCTGATGTGAAAGCAAACTACAATGCTATGGCACAAAAGGACAAGAAGCGATATGAGATTGTACGTGTGTGCTTCTAAACCTGTCTGAACCTACATATTTAGATAAACAACTTGATTTGCACAGTTAATGTAACATAAGCTGAACGAATTCAGAGTGCATATCATTTGGAAGCCTTGAAGAATTATCTTTATTAATCACACTAGACTTTGATTAAATTTTTGACTTCATTGTTGTTTTTAATTTCTGTTGTTTGATTAACTTGTTGACAAAGCTACTCGCCAAGAAACCTGGTTAATTTTATAGTTTATTAAAATACTTTGGCTGAGAAGATCGGCGATCTTTCACATTATTTAAAACTCGCGAGGTGAAGCGATTAACCTTCTGTATACTGCCGAGTTTTTAAAGTTACTCTGTGAAATGCTATTCTAATTATGTATCGCCTAATCTTCATACAGGAAATGAAGTCGTGGAAGAGCAAGGGGACGTTTGGGAACGCAGGCGCTTCCAGCAAAAAATTTAAAAAGGCAGAAGAAGACAATGGGGAGGAAGAGGATGATGATGAGGAGGAAGAAGATGACGAGGAGGAATCTGATTAGACGTCGGTGATGACTGCATGGAACATGTGGGAGGCATTTTACATATGCATGCAGTACTTAGCTTTATTTGTGGGAAAAAGATGCCACACGTTGGCCACACGCATTGACAGTGGCAAATATGTAAAGTGTCTTCCAGCACAGTTGGTAACTGGTGTATAGATATATCGTCATGTAGATAGCTTTTACCGCGTGTGTGTTTTGTAAATGTCTGCTATGTTTAATGCAATGTCTCGTATTTAAACTGGTTGATGATCACTTATTTCATTCATGCCACTGACGTATGTGTATCACTGTGTATAGAAGTTTGTTTGTAAGTTACCAATGAAACTTTTTTTTAGCAGTGAATATAACTGCATTAGTAGGTGGAATCTAGCTGGGGCAATCAATCCATTGACTAGCTAAGTAAAACAGTAAGTTGTCATACAAAGCATTTTGAACAGATCATTGTTATAGGCAGTTAGGAGCTGTCTGTAACGGTGATATCCTTCTATACGTACTCCAGTGCTCAGTATTCTGCGGTAAACAAAATGTCTTTTCTGTCAAACTGAGAGTGATCTTGTGAATATGGTATGATAAATCCCACAATCTCATCTCAACAATGCATATAAAATTACCCATCAGCATTTATTAAACTTGAAAGATTTAAACGTGTATGTTTAAAAAACATGTTGCATAGCTTAAGTTATTTATACAACAAAGCGTATAAATGCTTATTTGATGTGAGACTTATTTAATTGTATAACTTGGTCACTGCAGTATAAGTGAATTATTTACAACAAATTGTAAAGCTGATGTCTCCTCTATATAGTTTACTCATTTGCAATTTTTTTCTGAAATATTTGGCAAGTAAATTTAATACAAACGTCTCTGTAGTAAATTGTAATACAAACGCTTATAAGCTGCTCTGTGTATGAACTGTGTATAGTGGATAAAGATGGCAAGCAGATTGGCTGGTATCCGAAGCAGTGTATGCTTTATAACAAAACGTGTTTTATGAAACCATTTATATAAAAAAAATCATTACCTCTGTATAATTTTGCCTGTAGCCAGTGGACGACCATAGCATGTGTGTGTGTGTGTACACTCTGCCCTCACTGTTGGTACTGTTGCGTTTTAACGAATAAAATCTATGTATTCTCGAGATCAGCTGCGAACCAACGGCTATGTAATTTTTTATGGATAACACCAACAGTCATATGGAGAGAGCCTTGTGGTACAGTGGTTATAACCTGTCTAACTTCCACTTTGAAGCTGTGACACTGACTGCAGGGTCGTGTCTCCCTGCTCGGACTACATTTATATATAATGTGTGTGTATTTATAAATACTGTAGTATAATACATCTATATATAGATTTAGTATGAGTTGGTGGCAGACAAGATCATGTAGTCAGCAAGGCTGAGTACGACCTTATTGACTATATTCTGTGGTAGGGACAAGTATAAGAACAACAATAGTGAATAACCACTACCATTTAATTGTGTTGTTAATGTAATAGTTGTTTAATTTCTGTAAACTTCATAATGTTGTACCATCAAGGAACCATGATACCTTGTTAAAGATGTTGTACATAACTCACGTGTAAGTCTTTGGACTTGAATAAATAAACAGTGACATTACTGCAAAGAACTCATTTTTAATTTATTTTGGCTTGATACAGAATGTCTGTTCTGCAGCACTACATAACGTCAATATAACGTGTTAATCCTTTACGTTGTGATTATTGACACGCGTCTTATCGTCCGGATTGTCTAAAATGCGCTCACTGGTTCATATATGTTGATAATTCCCAATCATGAACTCATGATATTCAATGTTTGTTGATGATTGTTTTCTTGATGGTGTTTATACCATTACCACCACAACATTTGACTATCCATAAAATGTTATAGCGACATTTTTTTACTAAGACTTTACTAAGTACGTTCATCGCCTGTTCAATATCTCACTCAATCGCTCCGTGAAAATTAATCACTCCCCAATGACATCGCAGCGCCAGCTTTTGGTATTTATGTGCACTGTCCATCCACGAGAAACTACGAGAAACCGCAAAATTGTCAAATAATGGAGAGCCGTGTATAGACCATAGAAATAATATACTAGGTAGATGGTAGATGGGTGTCTCTATAATATTTCGACTGTATAGACGGATAACCTCTATTTTCGAGCCGTACTATCAACCGCAGATCTGCTGGTCTCGCTGGGCTGGACTGAGGAAGTAGGAACTCTTGAGGTTACCGGAGAGTATAAAGCTGTAGGCTTGCTATACGGCTTTATGCCGCTGAGATTACCACAGACTACGGATACCGGTATGCGTTAGTCTGTGAGATTACTGTCAAATATGATGTCTTACCGCCACCTGTCGGGAAAAATAATTCACAAATGCAGATTATTACACTCAAAATTTGCTATAGATACGTATCTCCAAGGTATCTCTATTACGTGCGTATATTATGTGCACTTGATGTGTATGCACATTATGTTATCAGGAGTCTATCAATATTGATCCTGATGTTATCCCAAGGCATGTAAGTGGTTGGAAACAGACTGAACAGAGTGAAACATGCTTATGATTATATTAACATATTATAACATTAAACACATTAAACATTAAATTATATTATATTAAATATATATTAAATTACATTACATTAAAAACACAAATTACATTAAATACATTAAATTATATTACGTTATATTAAGACAACAATATTATTTAATTATATTGAACACCCACATTGTGAAACACTGTTATATATCCACTGTCTCAGTTACCACATTTTCCTAAATCAAATCTCTCGTGTATATAGTCCAACTGTCCAAGGACTGCAAGTCTGCAACGAAAGACAGAGCCTATATAACGTTGTCAGAACAAAGCTGTGGATTGCGGTGGAACATGTTTCCATTTATTACTATTCAGAGAGGAAATAAAAAAGAATCCCAGTAGGAGCTAGAAGACAAGAACAGAAAAAAACTTAAACGTTTAACGGCATAGATGACGAAAGCAGTGGTCAAAATCGATCAGTAATAAATAAAAATTAACGTGATTTTAATTATATTCACTCCTGGTCTGAATCAAAAAAAGCATGCGTTTGCCATAAGCTTGCTTTACAAAAGGCGGATCCACCAACAGGAATTAATTAAGCCACCACTATGCTGTATATAATAATATCAGGAGTGTATAATAAGAAACAAATTATTATACACTCCTGATAAGATGTATGTTATTATATACCGCCCAGTGGAAGCTAGCCGCTCATAGTGCCCATCCATCATCATACTTCAGCGATATAACATTTCTATACTTATAGCTGTTCTGGCTCTCCCGTGTCGCTATGCATCAGCTGTTTTTAAGAGTTATGATATAACACTTAGCTATAGCTACAGTATATATATACATACACACACACACGCACACGCACACGCGCGCGCACACACACACACACACACACACACACACACACACACACACACACACACACACACACACACACACACACACACACACACACACATATATATATATATATATACTTGAAAAAATACTCTCGGACCCCCTGAACATCCACACACAATCCGCATTAGAAAGAAAAGAGAAGCCTATATTGGATCCACAATCTAAACACCATCCAACCATCCGGACTCAACCTACGGGTCGAAATACCGGGATGAATAGAAGACTATCACAATAACCCTGCCTACATGGAATCAACGTGAGGCTATCCCTAGCCAGACGACCCCAGGGTAGCGAGCATTTCGATTCACTTTTCAACACATTTATATATATATATGTATATATATATATCAAGAGCTAATAAATACTAATAATAAGGTAAAATTGTCATTATCAAACATTTGGTTTTATAGATATATGAATAAATATGATAGAATACTGTGATAATGATATCATATTATCAGGAGTAAGATAATATAGATATATAGTATATATCTATAATATAGTATGTATATATAATATATTATCTTACTCCTGATATTATCAGGAGTCTTATATTCTATGTGAACCATACCCGCAAAACCATACATGCAAAATCATTTAACCCGCGTGTCTCTTCGCTAACGCCATTGGAAGCGGCACAACTTTCTCCACACCCATGTGATCAAATATGCGAATTCCGATTGGGCAAAGCACATGCGGCAAGTTGAAATTAGCCAATAGGAGCGCGCCCGTGCTGTGAGGCTTGTGCCTTTCAAGCCCGCAGAGGCACAGATAGCGTTAGCACGTAGCGTATAGTGACTATAGTCGGCCATAGAGAAACCATTGCCGTAGACATCAGTGGCGTATTCTACAAGCTTGACATATTTGGACTCAATACCCGTGAGTAAAACATTGTTTTCCATTACGATTACAGTGTAAATTATTAGAAAAAGATATTAGCATGTCGAACGATAATCGTTACAGTGGTCGCATAAGTGTAAAACTTGCACATAAGTGAGTAGCTAAGATAAACGATGTTGAACATTTGTAAATTTAGTACAGCATTTTCCCATAGCCGTTGCGTTGGCGGCCATTTCCTATTGCACGGGCTATGGTAAATTACCGATTCCAATTATTTGTATGTAACTTGCAAGAAACCTTTCCAAAGTATAATTTTCTTGCAGAGACCGGTAATGAGATAATCCATGCTATTATATGTGAAAATTTACAGCAGTTTGTTGGGTTTTGCCTGTGAAAATCGTAGCCGAAACCGCACTCATCTTTGTTCGGCAACCGCTAGCTCAGCAATGGCATATTGCCAACGCTGTAACCCCTATATTTTCAGCGCGTCTCAGTGCTGAATCCTGACTAGTATGGGTCTACGGTCCGATGTATACACCTTAGTATATCAGTGCTATATATTCCTATGGGTTACGGAGACGGGACTTAGGATAATATTTTTAAAGATTTCTGGTAGTAAAGAATGAAACAGCTTGTTAGACCTTGTAAGACTATCTTCATCCGACATTTTGTCGACACAAAGAAAATATTTGGGCGTAGTTTTCATCCACAAATTTATACTTAAATCTCTCATATACTCAACATACCCGCAGCGTACTATGTTACGTATATGGTGTGCATACACATAGTACCGCGTATAGGTGTTGACAATGTTGAAGCCAAAAGTTGCCGGTTTCGTGAAGTTCGATGGGTTTTGGGTGGTTATCGGAGGTGTTTCTTTGTCTGTGTAAGCTGGAATACTGGATTTAACTGGTTTTGACTGCCGTAATGGCGGCTATGAACACTTTATGTAGGAAAGAAAGCAGAAGTATATCATTAAGATAGGGGAAGGAGGGTTTCTATAGTAATACTAATATACTGGCGATAGAAACTGCTTTTAATTTTGGCAAGTAAATGTTTGAAATAGATATGATGAGACTTTAAATTGTAACTGGTGCATAAATGTAGTAAATGTTCATGTTTATTTCAATAATGTTATGTGTTATGTGTTATGTTATATTAAATTATTATAATGTTTTTATAACTTTCTAGTAAGTAGGCTAGTACATGTGTGTTTTATATACGAAAGTGTTGATAATTGGATGTCAAACTGATTGTCATTACAGTTTATACTATGACTTAGGTTGAAATTATTTAGCTATTATAAAATATAACATTTAAAAGTTATACTTATAGGCCTAATGCACAACATTACAAATGAGTTTTGAGCTTTTATCATTAGAATTCCACTCATGATTGTTCATACTTTTCGATATAACGTACATGCATTTTTGCATTATTGCACACTTCTAAAAGGTGGTGAGAAGTGTATGTTTCTTGAAAAGTAACATTTTGACATTGATTATACGAGAATAATCGGGCGTAGGCTGGCTAACTGATTAATGGGGCAATTTGGGCTTAAAGGTGTTGCACTTTTTTAACACCAAATTGTTGAAAAGCAATTTAAATGTACAACTTTTTAGTATGCAGGTGAACTATCCCTGTTTGCTTTTTGTTGATCAGGCAATATTTCTATTCCATGCATTCTCATACATCGTGCTTGCATGTGTAGCAACCATATATCAACTTCTGAATTTGATATTGCTGTAAATTCTACATTAGTCTGTGACGTTTTACACCATGCATTTGATATTAATTGAGTTCTTGCCAATTAGCAAGAGACTTTGTGCTTATACCTTGTATGTAACAATCCCAGTGTCTATAATTAGGTGGTTACTCTGTGTGTGTACTTGTATAGGACATACTGGTTCTACTAGCTTCCAAGAAACACATAGGAGGTTAACTGCATCTATTCACATAGCTGGGTTCTGGTAGGGAGGACCCTTTGTTCACTCCTTGGGGGATTTTGTCAATGAAGCATCTTATTGTGCAACCTACTGTTGACTGTACAGTGCTCGAAATAAGCGTTGTCCGGTTGTCCGAGACAACCAGAATTTGCGCCGGACAACCTAACCAGTCTGAGACATTGTCCGGTGGACAACCAAGAAACACTATCCCTAACCCTAACACCGACTCTAAACCGACTCGGCTATCTTATATATACGCGTGGTACCCAATTAATCTATGGTGTATAACCTTTTGCTTTCAATATTTTGCATCTGAACTGACAATCAATCCCAACCAACTGGTGTAGGCTAGCTGGCACAATAATGTGCAGTTTCATACTTCAAATCCGAGTGTTTTCTAGCTCATCAAGAAATTTTAATCGTGAATTAAATCGTGAATAATATAAAAATATGGGACCAGCTGCTATTTCCATCACTGGTATATGTCAGGTTTTCTGATTTATGAGAGGTGAACTCGATTTGGAACCAGCAAACCAGCAAGTTTCTAAAATTTTCTGGGGAAGGACCCCCATACCCACCCCCCCTATGCCTGTTTTTCACTCCTCCCTCCTTGGAATCCTAAACCCGCCACTGAACAATTACATATCTTGGGAGCAGAGAACAATGAACAAAAATGTCGCCTTTTCGCATGGATTGCAGAGCTGAGAGGTAGAGGAGCCGTAGGGTGTGGAGAGGGAGGCGGAGGACCCAGTAAAATATTAAGTCATCCACTATTTTGCGCAGTTCGCTGTTTTTGGTCCTCCTTGTTAAAAAATCCTGGCTACGCCACTGTTTTTGGGTGTTTTCTGATCATATTATTATGTGATTGAAAATAGGAGATTTGGGGATATTTTTTGGGACAACCAGAAATTGTTGCGGACAACCCGATTTGATGCGCGGGTTGTCCGCAGGACAACCACATTTTTTTTCTTATTTCGAGCACTGCTGTATAGCAGGTAGGGCTACTACCAGGTACCAGTGCTAGGGCGCTTGGCACTTTGTGTCCAGTAGGGTGCAGTTTTCTTTCATGTCTTGATATAGTTACTTTTACATGTGTGTGCAGTGTGAACAAAGGGAAAATGTTGACACTTTGCAACTTGTGTCTGTGTATTGGTCCACTGTGCCTACGTGAGATGCATATTCAGAAAATAAAGCTCTTGAGAAGACAGGGTTCTCCTTCTGTAGTAAATGTACATAATACTGAACAGGAAAAAAGAAAGCAACCGAAATTCGGCAGTGTTCTATAGGCATTCTCAACTTCTGTACCTTTAGTAAAATACTTATAATTTGGGCATTTCTGAGAGCAACTGATCAGAAAAAAAGTGTGAACGTTTATATTTTGGGTGTCAAATTGGCAGGTAGCTGACTTCTAATGAAAAACCTGGTGTCATGAGAAATGGTTACCACTTAGAATTTTTTAACAGCCACTTTGAACCCCGATGACGCTGGTTTATTGCAAATGGTGTTTGGACGAAGATTTGGTGATAACTAGTATGCTGACTGCTGTTAATTACATAGAGTCGTTTATCAGACTGGGAAGAAATGTTGTTGTAAATAATCTTAAATCCTCGTCTACAGAATTTTCTACTGGGAAATAATCCACACCAGCACTTCACCACTTCATCACTAAAGCAATCATTTCTTGTATCTGATATTATATTTACTCCTAGTCGTTTAGACCGCACCACATATTAATCGCACCTGTAGACCGTAACTTAATAACTGATAAGTTGATGACCCCGTGCAAAAACCGACTTCCTCGTGGCTACCCCTGGCAAGTGCTAATTTCGGGCCATTATCTTCTTTGCTTTTAGTTTTAGGTGGAACCAGAAGTGCATAGGAGCTACTGTTATAAAGGACTATCATGGCAAAGGATCCAAACAAGCCGAAGGGCCGCATGTCGGCGTATGCCTATTTCGTACAGACTTGTCGGAGCGAGCATAAGAAGAAGCATCCCGATGAGAGCGTTGTGTTCGCAGAGTTCTCAAAGAAGTGCGCTGAGCGATGGAAGGTAAGTTAAAGCTGAATGCAGTGGTTAGTTGATGGGGGGGGGGAGAGTTGTATTCAAGGGATTTATTGTATTTCTTTATTTGAGGTCATTTTCTGATTGGTTCAATTGTTTCTGCATTTAATGACAAAGAATGTTGGTTTCATTGTAGATATTTTCAAATTTTTATCGTAATAATAATGTTGGTTTCATTGTAGATATTTTCAAATTTTTATCGTAATAATAATATCAAAAATTTGGCTTGCTTCATAATATGAAGAATTCCTTTAATATTAGTCGGACAGGAAATAGATTTAAAGGTTGAGGGACTTTGGTAAAATTTTCACCCATGACACCTCACTTAAAACTACCCATGTAATTTAGAGTATTCAGTATTCATTTACAATAATAATGAATGTGTTTGTTGCCTCTGACAAGATTTGACCCGGTTTCTTTTTAGACAATGACTGACAAGGAGAAGAAGAGATTCCATGAGATGGCAGACAAGGACAAGGGCCGATACGAGCACGAAATGGCAAACTACAAACCACCAAAGGGCGTTGGCAAGGGTAGCAAGAGAAAGAAGAAGGACCCAAATGCACCCAAGAGAGCCATGTAAGTTTTATGATGCAATGTCTCTTGTAGATGTAGGCGGCGTAAGAGAAATATTTTAGCACCGAACCGTATCTGGTCTACTCATTTGTATCGGTGGCGATTCCAGTCGATTTCCACGTCCAATTACATTTTGATGCTCATCAAATGTCTTAATTGCAGGGTTCGTTACGGGTCATTGAAAACCTTGAAAGTGCTTGAATTTTTATTTTTTTATTTCAAGGCCTTGCAATCCTGGAATTTCAGGCTTCTCACCCAAAAGTGCTTGAAAAGTCCTTGAAAAACGAATTTGGTTGATCCAAAAAATTTATGAGCAATTTCAAGAACATGGTTAAAATTTTGTTCAAGTCTGTTACCAAGATCGCTCACAATAAAATAATAAATAATGTTCAAGTTTAGAACACAGATATACTGATTATAGACTGACAGCACAGTATACAGTGTATCTGTAGGTCCTTGAAATTTGGCTGTTGGGTCCTTGAATTTCAGGTTTGGTGCAGTGTACAAACCCTGTAAATTAATTGGCACGGATGTCATCACATGGAGTCCTTATATTTCTGTCAAGTTGATGCCCGGATAACTAGACTTTGCATCTCTCGTTTCCCAGGTCAGGCTTCTTCTGGTTCTGCCAAGATGAGCGGCAAGTGGTGAGGAACATCAACCCTGGCTGGGGAGTCGGTGATGTCGCCAAGGAGTTGGGCAAGCGTTGGGGAGTGCTCACCCCTGATGTGAAAGCAAAGTACGACGCCTTGGCACAAAAGGACAAGAAGAGATACGAGACGGTATGTGGCCAGCGACACTATATCTTAAAAACTTCCACAGACTTATTAAACCCTAACCCTACTCAATATATCTATGTAATGATGCCATCTTTTAGAGGGCAGGGAGTCCACTGGTCATAGGTTAATTTCTATCAGTGTGTGCATATATATGTTTTCTTTATTTCTACTAGTGTGTGTATATAATTATGTTTTCTAATAACCTTTTCTCTAATCCACGCAGGAGATGAAGGTGTGGAAGAGTAAAGGAGCAGCTGTGGTCGCAGCAGTTTCCAGCAAAAAATTCAAGCGGGCAGAGGAGGACGAAGAAGATGAAGAGGATGATGATGAGGATGATGATGATGATGAGGAATCTGACTAAGCGCGGCAATCGGGAGTACTGGGAGAAATTTTTACACCGTGTAGCACACCTTTCAACAGGGGCTACAAGTTGTCGAGCGTCCAAAATTACCAATGATAATATTAGAGAGAGAGAGAGAGAGAGAGAGAGTGTTCTGAAGTGTCTCCCAGCAAAATCAGTCACTGGTGTATAGTTATATCATCATGTAGATAGCTTTTTTTGTGTAAAGTGTTTTAAACGGGTGTCACGTAAAGACGATGTCTTGTATGTAAAGATGTACGCCACTTGTTACCCACACAATCTGGGTGATGCCATACTTAATGTAATAACATAATTGCAAGCATTTTGTACATTCCCATTGCTGGATTTTAATTTCTAAATTCATTTTATCAAAGATGGTTATGCTTTGGTAATCGTTTGCACAACTGTATTGTAGAAATCATCGAGAGTGCAAAGAAAGATCTGTAAAGTTGTACTTTATTTTGTCGCATATCAATGTCTTGTTCTTAATTTTTATGTTCATGTCTAAATTCGGGAAATAAATTCGTAAAATGTCAGCACGTTGTTGGAAGCAGTTTATTATGTCAGTTAATATTCAAGAAATGGTAAATGTCAATAGTCCAGCTGTCTCTTGTAAATTATCGCGTAATAATTGTAAATTTTTTTTAATGAAATTGTTAAGTGATAAGCAGCAATGCACTGCATAGAACTTGTGCTTCATGAAATCTAAAAAAAAAAGCCATTTAGGTGTACACAATTCTCTTTTTTTACCTTCTGCAATTGGCGCTAACGACGTAAAAAATATATACAAAAGAAAGCAAAAAGAAGTGCAGTCGGATCAAGATAAGGCAGCGTAGCCCCATCTATCGGGAGAAATAATTTATAACCGCGGATCTGTAAAATAGATATAGATACAACCAAGAGCTAATAATACATAGGTATATAATAATAGGTAATAGTAATAATAGGTATTATTAGCTTTTGACGTGATGTGGCCATGATGCCGAGGTGCGCCGAGGATTGACACTTTGTGTCTTCCAAATTTCCAATCACAGTCTACGCCGCACCTCTCTATTATAATTTCTAGGTATAATACCATTAGAGCACCAAATAGGGCATTATGCTAGGATAAAACGGTTTCCTACGATAGAGTTTGGCACAAATACGAAAATAACACGCTGTTTAGCGCACTGCGCTACGTCCTTCTGTTGCATTTTCGCATCTCCGTAATCAGAATAAGCCCCCGCCTTCTTCGTTGATGGACATGAATGGGGTGTCACTGACGTGACCAGTTCCTGTACCTACTGTATTTCGCCAGCCTATTTACTTTTCGTAAATAATGAAATGCCCGGCCGATGCATTTTGCATCAAAGAGAAAAATTTTCGGCATTTTCACTCGCTGTCGGAAGTGAACGAGTGCGTCATTCATTGAACTATCTCTTGGATCAGGGAACAGCGCTATCTCTTGGATGTTTTATAAGTGAATATGGGGATTTTCAATAAAATAATGCGTTTTTAATGTATTTACCACGATTTACGTATAGAAACTATATGTTATTTTTACCGATTTTTCCGTATATTTCTTTGGAGTTTTCATCGTCTTTCAATAGCTTTCAGGTAGATTTTTCTGCCATTTTCTGGTTGTTGATTATTATTTTGCGCAGGCACTCATTTTGGAAATCCAAACTGTGCATTCGTATAATTTCACTCTTGCCTTCTATTAGTATTGATTTCCATATTTTGTTTCTTCTGACCATAATAATATTTTCAGCCTCATTATTATGAACCTAAGTTTTTGTTCGGACTCTTATCATATCGTATATAACTCCGTATATCATTAATTAAATCCCCTTAGGTTGAATATTTGGTGCATTTTTTAATTATTTGTGTTGCCTCATTAATATCTCCTTCTCTATCCTTTCTTTGTTTGATGAATTTTTATACACTTTTCAGAAGCGGATCCAGAGGTTGGGTGACAGTTTTCCATATAGTTCTATTCTGCAGCTAGGCGGGGTCCGGGGGCATGCCCCCGGAATAAAAAATTAGCTAATATTTTGGTGCATTCTGCCGTGGAATTTTGAGCGCCTGTGACCGGTTTCTGAAACCTGGTGCAAACCGGCCTAAATCGCGCCTGCCCATATGGAGCTATGATCTTGAGCGATTTTGTTTACTGTTTTATAATCTCAATTCCTAGAATATCGTCCATATATAATCATTGTCATCTTCTAAAACTACAGACTATCCGCTGACCGCTGTGGACAGCGCTTCATACTTGAACATCCCCGCGTCAGCCTGTGCGCATACCCGCGGAAACTACGCGTCTCATCGCGCGCAGCGCCCCTTAGGATCACAGCGTCAAAGCTGTGCCTCCCAGCTACACAGCTCCCAGCCAGCAGGTTCTCTGGTATCGGTGCTACCCATGGCGCGGATTTAGGCCGCGTTTGCCCACCGCGTTTCTAGAACCGCGTCACAGGCCCTCAAAATTCACCAGTAATGCACCAAATATAGCCCTATTTTTTTTTAATTCTCGGCGTGGGGCATGCCCGGACCCCCTAGCTGCAGAAGAACATTATGGAAACTTGGTCACCCAAACTCTTCTGGATCGCCCCTGCTACCCAGTGCTGCTTGGTAAATATACTGGGCTTGAGACTTATTTGCCGTAGGTGGTGGCCCACATGCCAGATAGATGTGATGAATATATATATATATATATATATATATTATATATATATATATATATATTATATATAGTAGATATCTATAATCTATGTATGTAATATGTACCTGTAGCTGGGACCCATGTAGTTAGCACAATTGCCACTAGGCGGAGCCAGCTGACCGCATCTACACAATCATGAGATGATATGCAATCAGCGGCCAATAAAGCAGATTTTGAGCAAGCCAGGCTTTTCCATTTCTTGCGCTGATGAAATAGAAACACGTTACATTGACAGTTTAGAGGTGGCAGGCTTATCAACACAAACATTTCTGACTCGGGCAGCTATGCGGACCAAATTTCTAGACAATGATCTTACTTTACATCTTGGTTTACTCTTTTATAGAAAAGTTCGCTGTTAATTTATTTTTAAAAAGAAATAAACGGGCATGGTTTATCTATCTTATGTGCACATTATCTCTTCTCTCATTATTTATATCATTAAATAATTATTTCCTTTGTTATATCATTAAATAAACAATCATGTTTTGACAATGATTATATTCACACCATAATTATGCGTTCATAATCAATGCACCGCGTCCAGTGCACCCCAGTCACGCACCTCATGATGCAAATCAATGCGACGATGTTATTGACATTACTGAATATTGTTTTCTGGAAAGCACTAGTTTAAAACATACAGCGCCGGGCCTTACTGTTGTTCCATATAGTTACAGGAGCTCCGCTTTTAGGCAGTGCCTAAATCTTGTATTATAATGTACATGCAGCTAGGCCACATTTCCCTCTTTCTGCGAGAAGTACACTCGGTTTGCTTCGCGGAAACTTGCCTTCCTACAGAGCATTCCAATACACGGTTGAGTTTGTCTCATACCGTACACTATATTATGAACACTCTCGCGTACTCAGCATCGGCATGATGTTGACTTTATATGCCCACATCAACATCATAATTACATATAGCTTCAGTAAACTAGCGCTGTGATGAAACCCTCATATAGATGCAACTGTCCTCTATTACCCTCCTTCCCGACTTATTAGAACGGGAATGGGATAATATGTAGGTTACGCGATATTCAAAACTGCCGTATTTAATTACAGTCAATATGCTTAAATTTATGGGACTATAGACGTCCGTCTAATGCGGGAGATGTCATTAGAATGGGGATTTAATTAACACCGTTTCCAACACCCACATGATAAAGGTCACGGACTATACTATATAAGACAAGCTATAGATTAACACTAGCTATTGCCCTTGCAGGTTTACAGAAGTGACACAGAGGCCAGTACAGAGAGCCATACACACTCACTCATCATGCAAAAGTTTATCGTAGGACTGATGCTCGTTTCTTTGGTATGTACCAAACACATTAATTTCTAGTATATGATTCGAGTCTAAAGTAGATAAACAACTATATAGAGAGATAGATATTCTATCTATTGCTTTTGCTAGTAGTGTTATCGTGTTCCACCCTGCTACGAATAACATACGCTGTTGAACAGCCTTAGAATGTTTTATCATCCGTATATCTAAAGAGGAGCTATTCTATTTTTCAGCTGTGTGCTGTCATGAACGTGGAGGGCAGGAGGATTGTGCACACTAGACGGACGGTGATCAGACCCGGAGTTGGCCGAATTGGCAGGCCCCGCGGAGCGATCAGCCGAACAACCGTGGTGCGAGGCAGACGCGACGTTGACGATGGCGATGACGACGAATCGAGCTTCGCAGGAGACATCGACGACGATGACGCAGAGTGGTAGCTACGTCATCGATCACACGATGGCGAAAACGCGCAGGATTAATTGGTGATACCAATGCTGCACTTTGCGAGTGATCAGGGAAATCTCAGGGTCTCGATGTTACCGAATAAGAGCACAACCATGTTTTGATTGTCATTCATATACTCAGCGTAACAGATTCATAATAATCATAATAATTACTGTCAATGGAATATAGATGCATATTAGCAATATTGTAAAGTGTGTATGTCCAACCAAATATAATTTAACAAAAAAAGCCGACTGTTATGTACCAAATAAAAATTATCAATATATTTTCAGTAGTGTTTCTGTCTATCACTTTGGGGTCGAATTACTCTATTATGCACTTTACACTTAGCAGTGAAATATCTCTGACCTACGCATCCTACCATATATGGTTCTTACAATAGCATGCACAGCTTAAATGTCATATATGAGTGAATAAAAATGCAGAATATTGCAATAACTATATACAACAGAATAACAATAACACGCTGTATCTCTCTTTCAAATTCTTCACTATATCTTAATATTGCTTCTATAGCGAAAATAAATAGAGATTCACAGTTGAATAGCTTTTCGCTGCAATTGTTACATTATGAAAAATATACAATTATTGCCTGGACGCAAAAGGAAACATAACGTTTTATGGATTGGGAACATTATTGTTGCCCGAGATCAGAGAACATTCAATTTCCTTCGTAATCAGGCTATAATTATTTTGCAAAGAAATAGATTACTGCGCCTGGATAAACATGGATTTAGTAAACAAATTGCACTGACATAATTATGTCGGGGACGTTGCTATGGGTTCGACCGGAAACCATATAATGCAGACGCATTAGTTTTTTTAATCACATTCTAGGTGTTCTACTATACTATTACGCTTTACCAGATCTGATGTAATGTCCTTGCGTATATTCCTTGCTCATATTGCATCCTTGCTCTATACTAGTTGCTAGCACTGTTTAGCAGGCAACATTCATTTCCAGTGGGCAATATTAGTTTTTATTTTATAGTACGTATTATGCTCTGCAGAAAATATTTTTGTGAAAGTTACTGCATTGAAATTAGCGCAGAACGTGTCACGTGCCATGAAAAAAAAACATTACCAAC